GCTACTAAAGATTGCACATTTATTAAACACAAGCAACTGCGGCCTGTAACGATTGCCACTGTGCTAATGGCACTAGTGCTATTTTTTTACAATTCACAACTTCAAGAAAAAAAAAATCAAGTGGACTGGGGAGCAGCAACAGTTTACCGGCGGGGTCTGCCAAGTTTAATATCCGTTTCGCGCTCGTTTTAAAGGGCGACATCTGCTCACGCTTTATGACGCCTCTAGGCTCATTCCATAGATACGCCCGCCTAACTTATTTGATTGAGTATTGGGATGCTTTTCGCGCAATGTAGAGGGCGGTCGTGCCAGCGCAATGCTGTAGCTCTTTCGCTAAAGCAACAACTACATAACGGCTTGGCCAAAACGAATGCAGTGTTCCGGAAACATTACTCTATCATATTGGTTCACCAAGCATACGAATTGCCACGTCTGAGTTCTTGTACGAAGGCTAGAAAAATGCCGGCGAGTGCGACCGGCGGCTGTCGGTGAGAAGACACTTACGTTCTCTGGGAGTGCTTTATTCGCATCGCATCGATATTTGTTGCTTCTTGAGCGCACACCATACACAATAAAAAATGCTTCATTTTGGTTAATTGATGCCATAGCTGCGCTGTATTGTCATACTTAATCCTCGAAATCATGTATTCTGAAAACCGGAAGCACGGATAACACAATTGTACGGGCTCGGTCGGTAGGCCTAACCTTTGGTGGAAATCATGGTGGTAGAACATGTAGTGTACAGATCCCAGCTTGGTACTTTATATAAATTGGCTGCCATTATAAACCCACCCATCATCTGCTCACTGCTTCCCAGCATTATAGCGATGGTGGGCAGAGCTTGGTACACCATGTGGCCCACCATAACAAGCGGCACCCATCATCTGCTTAGTGCTTCCCAGCATTATCGCAATGGCGGGAAGAGTTTCTCAGCTTGGTACACAATGTAGCCCACCATAATAAGCACCACCCACCATACGCTTAGGGCTTCCCAGCATTATCGCAATGGTAGGCAGAGTGTCCCATTATTGCCCACTATCTAGCCTCTGCTTTCCACCATCATTTCCACTTTGCCCATCATCTGTACACCATACCACCCAGTATGTCCCGGCATATCCACCATATTTTCTACGATGTCCCACCATATCCATCATAATTTCCACCAAGCCCACTATTATTTCAAATACGCCCACCATGTTTTCCAGTATCCACCATGGCAATTTTTCCGATAGGGCGCGCTTTACTGTTCGAAGTGAGGTCTGGCTGCCAGAACGCATAGTCATAAAGTGAGGTTCAATAAAAAAAAGACAATGTACACGCTGTGGGGGTGTTAAGAAAACGATGGAACATATGTTCTGATTGAATGCGGTGGTATCCATCCAGGGCTACGTGTGGGCAAAAGCCTATGAGGCTTTGGGTTTCAGGCACAAACATCGAAAGCTAAATGCGTCCGCGATAGAAGCAATTAGAGGGTTAGGGTATTGGTGGCAAAAAAGTAAAGATAAAGGACAAAATAGTGGAAAAATGAGGTCAATCTGCGTAAAGAGGCTGAGCGATGGAACACAAAATCATATTTTTCGTTATACTAAGATCAATTATTAGGAGTAGATAAGGCATTGGTCAACCTAAAAGAAACATTTATTTTCGTTTCTTTTTTCTTGCGAGCCAAGCAGCACACATGTCACCACCCCCAACGTTTTTAGAACAATTCAGTTTCACAGCTTCCCATAGGCGCCCACTATCCGGCGTGGCCGCATAGCGTGTCGCGGCCGCTACGGGCGCTGTAGGCATGCTTTGCTCCGCACTCTGCGCGTCGTCTGCTACACCGGAGGAAACGCGGTGCGGCGCGGCCGTGTTACCGCTCGCATTTCAAAGCGTTTCGCTTTGCTGGCGGAACAGTTCGTGCCAAAGCAGCAGTTTCTTCGTATACATGCATTTCATTGTTGCTGCGCCCATTTTCATCTGGTGGAATTACGTGTCTGGGCTCCATCTATAGCTACCGTCGCCAGTACATTCTTATGTGGGCATAGGCGGCCTCGCGCGAGCATAACTGTAAAAAAAAAAGACACCCTTCAAAGAAAACGTAGATGCAGTAAAACTTTTTAAAAGCATAGTGCTCGTTTCTGATGCCACATAGTCATGCGCCGTTTACCGAACAGACTCGTCAATCTGATTTCGGTGTTTTTTTCCTTTCCTATTTCCGTGAATCTTATTTGAAGATAACATGGTGAGAATAATAATACTGAGAAAATAAAAATGGCAAATTCAGAAAGAACATATATTTTCTTGCACATACAGAATAGTATTGCATCGATCACTGAGCAAGGAAGGCAGCTCAAAGCAGCTTAGCTTTTTTTCTTGCATTTTGAATTTTTTCTGTGACAAGCAGTTTACGGTTCTTCTTTCGAGAGAAGTGCATGCGCATCAAACAATAGCATTTGATTATCTTTGCGGTGAGGAATTCATGGTGCTCATTACAACCAATTGCAGGCAGTGCAGTCGCATGAAGCCTGTCCAATACCATCCAGAAAATATCCCCGAACACTGCCGACGTTTCAAGCGTATCGTGCACAACCTCTTCTACTTCCTTAAGTAATGCGTACAGCCTAAATGAGGCCTCTCGAAGGCATCCTGGCTTGAATGACATCAACTCTGTCAGGTGCCTCTGGTTGAGCTGTGTTTACTCGGAGTTGAACTGATCGGGGGAAGCTGTGAGCAACGCACAGCATTCTTCGCACGTTATTGTTTTCGTGATTTTCTTGTGCACATAACCGGCTAGATAGTACACCACCATCTCATGTGCTCCAGCTTTTTGGTACCCATGATCCCGTTCATCACAGCAAACGTCCTCGGTACAAACCATCCCCAGAAGGTTCTTATCCAGCTTTGCTTCAACGGCAAGTTTTAGCTCAGCTGCCGCTTTCGCCTTTTCAACAAGACTTTCATGAATTGAAACGAGGACGCCCTCAGCCGGTCCAGAGCAGTTCCCCTTTACGGCGTTTCTCACAGGTGTAAAAAGGGACAGCAGGCGATAAATCTGTCTGAATTGAATAATCGTGGGGTGGTCGTCGTCACCGTGGAATGACCGGACTATTCCGAAAAATCTCTGCAAAAGAAAAACGTTTAAACATCGCTGAGGGATAAAAAAGAAGACAAAGGAACGGCAGCAATGTTTGCGTAAGAGAGAACGCGACCGCGCAAAACTGTTTTGAAGGGCATCGTTTACAGACAAGAAAAGAAATTAAAGACCACGTAAGCACAGTGTAAATGTAAAGAGACATCCCCCTCGCGAGGGGCACGATCAAATGCAGAGCATTTCCGGGGGTGCACGACGTTAAGTAGTTTGCGTAACGTTAATGTTGTTGCACTTGTTTCTGTTGGTTGTTATATCATTGCTATCTCTCCCCACTCAATCACCATTTAACCTTAGGAAGCCCTAACCACACTGCTGATGAGAGAGCGCCGATACCCGCTTTATATTCCTAACCATCATTTTCTTTTCTACCACAGCTCTTCTTAGCCAATCCCCCTAAGTGGGCATGCACCCATCTCCCCGCGAGGGGGACTTGAGTAAATGCGTCGCATTTACTCAAGGGGTGGGTGTATTGCGTTGACGTTTTGTGGCGCAGTGGGAAGAGCACCATGTACCTCGCGTTCCGCCCACAGGTAGTGAATGCGTTGTATCAGTAGCTTCTTGACGTAGTTTGAATGAGTCAAGGATATAAGGCTCGTTCGTAGCATTGGATTTTGTGTCGGTTTTGTGGCTCAGTGAGTAGAGCACCATGCACCTTGCGTTCCGCCCGCAGGGTCATGTGATCGAAACCGGGCGCCGGTAACTGTTATTTTTTTTATAGTGTAGTGGCCTGGCTGCCGACTACGCTACTCAACGCGGGTCACATGGTGAGTTACTGAAATGCCCTGCATTTAAAATGCCATTAGACGATTCCTAAAAGAATCTGCACACACAAAAAACTTCGCATCAAGCACATTTCCGTATGCCCAGTATAAACAAGGGAATTGGCCCGTGTATATTGCAAAAGAGGGGCACCTTTCTCTAACCGTAAGCCACACCAGCACTTCTCCTGGCGCCTGTCCTTGCGGTGCAGCATGTGTTCCCATTGTTTAAACTCCGCGGCCTTACGTGGTGGGGTAAAAAAATGATGGTTTGCGGCGTCATTTCTGTAGCCACTCGTACATCCCGGCGCAAAACACGAAGCCATTTTAACAACAAAAAAAGCGAACATTCGGAAACCGGAAGATTCAGGCGCACGTGTGGGGAACGAAATCGCTTCAAACGACGCGCGCCCGCCAAAGCACCCGCCTGTCCGCGCGCCCGATCAGGAGCAAGTGAAGAAAAGCGTGACTGCAGCGCCACTAGTTCGCGTGACCGCCACCACGGCCGCCTCGGGAGCGGAGCTGTGAAACTGAATTCTTCTAAAAACGTTGACCACCCCGTTATAAAAGGGACGCTAATAGTATGGTCATCCATCCATCTGGCTGGACGGAGGATACATGGTTTACCGATGAAACCCTCCGAAGCTTCGTCCCACTCATTATCAATCACCGTGGATGCACTGTGAATTATTTGGTACACATCTGCAGCCATAATATTTTAAAGCATTGTACGACGGGTTTCGAAGAGTTTCTTGACCTCGCACCTGTATTTGTCATTTTCTTGTCTATTTTATTTTCTTTTTGCACTTTAGTTCAATGTTTCAGAGTACGTCCTCCCCTGATGAATAGCAAGGTATTGCTCGTGTCTCTTAGAAACAACAACAAAAAATGGTTGATTTGCTATAAAACGGTGAGGAGGGACTTTCTAAAATAAACTGAGATAAGAAGAACATATTCAACAAAGCCCTTGTTTTAATAATAAGAATAAATCTAGAAGGTGTGAACACAAGATCTCGATTAGGTGGTCTACAGCCTACGCTCGAAACCGAAACCAGTGTTTTCAGTCACCATCATCATCAAACCTTAGAACGTTCCCAAAGAAATGGCGGCCTTCTGCTATCTCCTGGAGCTGCAGTATCAGCTCTCTCGCTGGTTTCGCCTGCTTTTTATAACATGAGGTAACCGTGAACGAGGTCGCTCACAGCACGTACAAAGACTACTTGATCTCGTCGAGCCGCAGAGTCCGATTTCGTCATGGGCAACTGTTGGAGCTCGAGGTGAGTGGAAATTCCGTTCGCGATTGGGATTGCTTCGAAGGTGCTTTTGACAGCTTGCGCGAGCCCAGTGATCGCTCTCAACCTTGTTTATCCTGCTTCCCAAACAGTGTTTGGTTGTAAATTTAGCTCAACATGCCTCGAGTATTGGAGTTTCTGCATCTTGATACATTTAATGGTGTCGATATTTGTTCAGTTGCAAGAGACCCGTGTTCGTGGGCAGGGATCAGAGAGAGTTCTGGTTCAACCGCTGGAAAACCGGAGACACTCCGTGGCAAACGCAAGGAATACATCGGTGAGTGGACAGTCGAGCCTCAGGACATCTTTACAGAGTGGTCATATTTGTTTGTTTCTGTTAATGGTGCCCAACCGCGCGCGACTAATAGTAAAGAACATACTATATTGTCACAAAACGGACAGCGCAACGTCACAAAATGCGTGCTGGCTCTTGGCTTCCTGGGTATTGTTCTACAACCGCGAACAGCTGCTCGCGTGCTTCAATTTACTTTTGTTATTTATATGTCAATTGTTCTATGTTTCACTGCAATACACACCTGTGCAACGGCGAAGTTTATTACATTTTTGCAGGGTACAGAATAGACGCAGATACTAGCTTTACTAGCGATATGCAGTACAATAGCATTAGGAAAGAGCGCAATCAGGTGACTCGAATATTAAGGAATGCACAGCTTTCAAACACGCAACTTGACTGTGTCTTGTCATACCCATGGGCAAGTGCCACGCAACAATATGGAAGATATCGGCAAGATTGTTTTCGAGCTGTGGTGCTGGCCAAGTCTTGAGAAGCACATGGAGTGCCAAACTAACAAATATACCGCGCATAAAAAAGTCAACCCTGCATGTTCTTTTGAAGCTCTCTGGTTTTGGTCATGTCAGGCAAGCTACCTGTTCAGGGAAGTTGCGAAGAGCCCAGCCTTTCACAGGATAATTACGCGGTATTAGGGAGGCCACAGTTGGAAGTCCAGGTTATCTTAAAGAACAATGGTACTTCAGTAAAATAGAACGGTGCAAAACAATTGGCCCCGTACCTGCATGTTTCACTGCAAGTGTCATCGAAAGACGATAGTGTTGCATCTGGAAAGACTGAATAAAGCGTTTATTTGATTTTCTGTGCGAGAAAATCAAATCGGTGAATGGGATTCTGGAGGCACTGCGCTAGACATTACCGCCATCTGGCAGTAATCTTGTAGAACAAAAGGATGGCCTCCGACATGGTGAGCACGCGGCATGTGCGCGCAGTCTCGGAGGCCACAATTTGCACAATGTAAGGTGACTGGTGCGCGCCATCAACGTTTCCGTCTTAGCAAAGCTTCGTTTCCGTCTTAGCAAAGCTTCCTACGCTTCGCAATCCAGGATGTACAGCGAGTCGTGATTCCGAGAAACCGAAGCACCTAGTCGTCATACCATACTATCACAAGATATCGCACAACCTAAAGAAATTAGCTAAGCGCTCTGAAGTTAGGGTTGTCTTTTCGGCTCCCAAGAAGTTGGTCAGCCTGTGTGGCCTTCATGACCGTGACGGAAAACCCAAAGGTTGTAGTAAGAAGCATCGAACTGTTTATGTTCCCTGTATCATATGCGTTGTTTATCGTATCCCGCTTTCTTGTGGTAAAGAGTATATTGGACAGACGGGCCGTTGTCTCAATGATCGATTAAGAGAACATTGTAATAATGTGAAAAACGGCCAGGGAAGTTGGTTGGCCATACATTGTAAATCCTGCGGCTGCACGCCGATATTCAATGCATGCATAGTTATCAAGAGAATGTGTGACAAGCTTACTAGAGAGATTATTGAGGCTGAGTCTATCGCTTCACTGGGGTCTAGGTGCGTCAGCACTCCCTCTCTTACGCTCAGTGATAAAGAATTGTATCTTCAAAAAAATAATTTTTTGTGTGCATCATTCATGTCATGTGATGTTATTTTTCTTGGTGATATAGGCGAGTGTGCGGTGGTAATAAACATTATGTTGGAAGTGTCTTGTGTCCCCGTTTCTTCGCGCTATTTTCTGTCGTCACAATGCACCAACAAGCCCAAATTTCGACAGTGTTGAACTAGAAACACCCCACTTTTTCGTGGGTAGTATTACACTGTCAGCGCTCTGTAATAAGTGCTGCATTTTTTAGATTTACTCATGCATGCCTTTTATAGTGTAAAGAAACATGTCACAGATATGGAAGTGTTGAGATTGTGCCTCAGATATGTGCAGTATTTTTTTAATCGACAATATGCACAAGTATTCCCGCCGAAACAATAGACTGGTGGGCGCTGCGGATATGGCTGGAATTTAGCGTTTTTGGGTGACATACAGAGAAGTCGACCAACAGACTGCAAGTTTTGTGTCGAAGTATCCAAAAAAAGACCATCCTCTTAAAAATTATTGAATACACAGGTACAGGGCTGTATGTGTTTGTAACTCTGTGTGCTCAGTCTTTCTTGCATTGTTGCTTTTTTTTCCTAAGTATGAGCAAACTTGCCCATGTAACTGTTTGTAGTTGTACTTCAACTTTAATAAGTCTTCAGCTGTAATGCCTATTTGGTCATACACTGGCACTCCACACTTCATGGAACACAAAATGGCATGGCTTGCGGGCTTGAAAGATTAGTGTGCCTTGAAAAATATGGCTTCCTTTTTGCATGTACTCATATAAGAGAGTCAAGTGCATTGTTAGGGCTGTTAGCACTTCAGACAGATAGACAGACAGACAGACAAAGAACTTTATTGGGTCCTGAGAAACGCTGCTCCTTTAGAGCAACCTCGCGGGCCGCTCCCACGTAGGAACGGGGAGGCCTAGCCTCACCGCCGCGTCGTGGGCTCTCTGGACAGCCCGTAGTTGTGGTAGCAACTCTGACCTTCGTAAGGCAGAGTCCCAATCTTTTTCTGTGAGCCGACTTGGGCCCCGTAACGAGGGGCACTGCCAGAGCATATGTGCTAAATCACTAACCTTACCACAATCAGGACAGGCAGAGTCAAAAGCCTCTGAAGAGACTATGCTGAGGAAAAATAGGCTTGGATAGGACCTGGTCTGGAGCATTCTAAACGTGATGGCTTGAGGTCTAGACAACTTGTTGTGTGGTGGAGCAAATGACCTTCAGCACTTCAATGAAAGAGAGATAAACAACTTAATTGAAAGGCACAATGAGGCTGTTGACTTGCGTGCCTGTGGTGTGGAGGGTGGTGGCCAGTAGCTTGCCACGACAGTTTTCCCCAAGGAAACTGCTTCTGCCTGAACATTGTAATCTGTCAATGATAGGAGTGACTCCCACTCCCCGAGCAAAGAAGTTGAGACTCACTTTCGTATATTAATTAGAACTAACAGAGAACAAAACCATGGTAAAGTTCATTGATAGTGAAGGTCCCGTTCTGGTTGGCTTAATGCCTTCAGGTAGTAGGCTAAGGCTTGTTGGTCAGCTGCCAGCTTGCAAAAAGATCACATGCTATGCAACTCCAGCAGGCAGAAAAAGAATGTGTCACACTCACTGTCACGGCTGCTAGCGGTGCTCACTAACACTTCCAGGTTTAAATGCACATATAAATGCCATAAAGTGGAGTGGCATATGACTGCTAGTTTACCACAAAAAGAGCAGGCGTGCCATTCAAAGGTCGCAGGTTCGGTCCCTGTCGGCGGCAAGTAGTATTTTTGTCCACTTTTCTATTTTCAGGGTTATATCATAATTGCTACAAATAATGCCCTCTACAGTTTTCTTGGCTTTCTTGTTGGCTAGTTCTAATTAATGTTGGGTCGAACAAAAAAAACAGCTGAAAAATTCCTGTTCTTTAATTCATTCACTTTTTATATGGTGTAGCTTTTTTAACGCTCTTTCATGCCACTTTTTACAGGCTACTGGAGCAGCACCAGGAGCTAGTCTTGGCGGGAAAGCAGAATGCACGCGTGTTCATTCCGCTCTGCGGAAATGCCCATGAACTCTTGTGGTAAGCTCAGTGCACTTTCTTCCTTAAATGTTGAAGCCTTGCTTTTGCTCATTCATCTGCACAGTAAATTTCTCTTTGCCAACACCGCAAACGCTGCAATACTTTAAGGTGGCACATCTTGGTTGGTACTTGTTAAGGTGGTTTAACGGTTATGGTGCTCAGCTGCTGACTTGGCCCAGGATTGTGGCATTGAATCCCAGCCATGGCGGCTGCATTTCCATGGGGGAAACATAATTGAGGCCTCGCGCACTGTGCAATGTCAATGCACATTAAAAAACTTCAGGTGGTTTAATTTTTGGAGCCCTCCCCTACAGCATGTCTCATAATCCTGTCTTGGTTTCGGGGCATTAGACTCCAAGAATAATTATTTTCTCTCGATTTGTTTAACACCATCACCGATCTTTGTTTTGTCCTGGGCTCAACAAAAGCCTATCTTAGTGATGTTAAATCCCGCCTGCCTTTCGCTAGCTGATCCCAGTTTAATCCAGTAGATTTCTTAACTTATCTTGGCATCACTATGCTCGTTATCCTTGGCTATGTCTCTTTTGGCACCCATTACAAGAATAGCTTATTTTTATTTCTTTCATGCGATTTGAAATGTATAAGCCTTCACTTTCTAAACCACACCCTTCTCTTTTTAGCTTATCGAAATGGCTCATTGGGCAAGTTGGTGCTTCTTCTGTCCTTGCCTTCTTAAGTTCTAATGAGAACTAACAGACTATGACACCACGGAATGTATAGGTATGGGGGATGCTACTAGAGGTTATTGTAATGTAAATGTGAAGGAAGAGAAGTGGACAAAAGGATAACTTTCCACCGGTAGGCACCGTACCTGTGACCTTCGAATAACGTTGGTCAAAGGCTAAGTCCCAGCCTGTGGTAAGTCATCTTTTCTTCCACTTTCCTTTCTTCGCATCTACCTTACTATTACTACTGTGATGCAACGGTGAAGGCAACCTTTACTAGGCCTAGAAGACACGATGAAACGACCACACCCAAGGCAAAAGAACCCAGGCAAGCCAAGTGCCCACAGCAGATGAAGATGACGACCACTCATGATGATGAACATGTGTGAAGAAAGTAGATGTGCTTAATGAATGCCTACACTAACTTCTTCCGACTTGTATGTAAACGTGAAGTCGTATTCTTGTAAGCGAAGAATCCAGTGACCAAGGCGGCCGGACAAGTTCTTGATTGTCGAGAGCCAGCACAAGGCTTGATGGTCCGTAACCACAGTAAAGTGGCGGTTGTGGAGATAAGGTCGAAACTTTTGCATTGACCATACGACCGCTAGGCACTCCTGTTTGGTGATGGTATAATTCTTTTCGGCAGGGGTCAGTGCACGGCTCGCGTATGCGACGACCTTCTCACGTGAAGATTTGTCTCGCTGTAGGAGAATTCCACGAATGCATTGACCACTAGTGTCTGTATGCAGGAGCATAGGCACTGTTTCGTCAAAATGACAGAGGACTGGTTCAGATGTGAGTGCACTTCAGTTGGGCAAACGCCGCTTAACATTCAGGAGACCACACAAAGGCGACGCTTGATCTGAGCAACTTGTGCAATGGTGAAGCTATTGAGGCGAAGTCTCGAATGAATCGGCGAAAATAAGAAGCGAGGCCGAGGAAGCTGCGCAAGTCTTTGGCTTTTTCAGAACACGGGAAGTGTTGGACAGCAGAAATCTTGTCTGGATCAGGACGAACACCGTCCTTGCTTACGATGTGGCCTAACACTTTAATTGTCTTGCTCACAAAACGGTGCTTCTTGGTGTTCAGCTGAAGGCCTGCGTTTGCAAGGCACGTGAGAACTTCATCCATTCGTTGCAAGTGCTGAGGGAAGGTTGACGAGAAAATAACGATATCGTCTAGATAGCACAAGCAAGTTTTCCATTTGAAGCCTCGTAAAACTGTGTCGATCATCCGCTCGATTGTTGCTGGAGCATTGCAAAGGCCGAATGGCATGACATAGCATTCGTACAGCCCATCTGGTGTCGAAAACGCTGTCTTTTCTTTGTCATCGTCATGCATGGGTATTTGCCAGTAACCCGAACGCAGGTCTAGGCTTGAGAAGTACTCGGCACCCTGCAGTGAATCCAAAGCATCGTCTATGCGTGGTATGGGGTAAACAACCTTGTGGGTAATCTTAATAAGTGCTCTGTAGTCCATGCAAAATTGCACGGAGCCATCTTTTTTTCTTACTAAAACAACAGGGGATAACCAAGGACTTGCGAGGGACATATAATGTTCCGTTGCAACATGTCGGCTACATTTTCTTCAATGACCTCACGCTCGGACGAAGAGACTCGATATAGTCGACAGCGTACGATGGAAGTTCCATCGGTCTGGATACGATGCGTGATAATGGACGTCTGTCCCAGAGATGAGGAATGGGCATCAAACAATCTCCTATGCTTTCGTAGCAAGGCAAGCAACTCATCTGTCTGTGAAGAGGTCAGCTGTGGACTAATAGTCGCAGCAAGAACAGAAATGTATGATGAACGTCCAATAGAAGGAAGGTCAGAACACGCTGGCATAAGTGAGACAACAGAGACAGGTTGGGATTCGATAACGCAAGCCATTGTGGTGCCTTTAGAAATGAGAATTTTCTCAGATGTCTGGTTTGTAGCATAGAGAAGTCCGTAGCCATTGTGGAACCACATTAGACCTGAAGCAAGGGCTATACCTCTTGTGAGACAGCGTGCAGATGGTTGGACAAACACGTCACCAGAGTCTATCACATTAGAAGTGATGGTGACTATTCGCTGATGACCAGGTGGTAGCTCGGTATCTTCCACAGCGAGCAAGCGAACAAGCTTGTCATCTGCATAAAGGGCATAGTCAGTTTCCATCATATCAACAACATTTTCTCGACAGCAGATGGAAGCGTTCGCAGTAGACAGAAAATCCCAGCCTAATATAAGCAGGTGGGCATACAAACTCAGCACGGCATATTGCACAAAAAGGAGAAGGCCAGCTGTGAAAACACAAGCGGTGCACATAGCGGCTGGTCTAATGACGTCCCCTTCAGCAGCGAGCAGTGTAGGTCCATCATAAGGGGTAGTGACTTTTCGCAGACGTGAGCACAAGGAACGATCAATCACAGACAAACAAGCACCAGTGTCTATTAAAGCGTCCAGGTACACACCTTCTATTAAAACAGATATTGTATTATATGGACGCACTAGAAGAATTTCTGTCTTTTCGTTCGATGCAGCTTTTCTTTCAAAAGCTGCAGAGGTTAGCTTTCTAGGCGTTGGTTGGTGAATTGCGAGACGGGTCGTAATAGAGACGTGTAGCGGCCGAGGGGTGATGGTGAACGGCGTCTAGTAGAGCGATAAGAAGGGGTTGGCTCAGATGTCGCAGTTGGAGACGGTGAGCGATGTAGCGGCGAATCATAAGGACGACGTTGGAAAGCGTACCAGCTTGTCCCATCATCCCGTCCGTAGGTATCGAATCCACGACGCTCGTCCTGCTGACGCTTCGACAGACGCGTGCAATGTGGCCTCGATAGCCGCGCTAATAACAGATCGGACGAGGTGGCCGCCACGGTGGGTGAAAGGGCTGGCTAGGCGCACTCGGAGTCAACAAAGCCAGCGGGACAGGCATCAAGTGTGCGGGCATCGGTTGTACGACGGGTGGTGAGCCAGCGAGGACTTGTGCGTACGTCGGCTGGAGTCGAGGTACTGGAGAGTCTACATACGCTGGCCTGGTCATGGACGCCAACTCCTCTTTGATAACATTGGCGAAGCAGTGTTGGAGGAGGGAGGTGGACTCAGTATCATTGAGAGGCCGAAAGATTGCAGCTCTTCCCGTATAATCGCCCGAATCATGGCACGCAATGAGGCATCAGTCGTGGTGGTGCTTTCAGCGCTGTCCTGCGGTAACCGTTGGAATTCAAGTTCCTCTAGGCGTTGGCACAAGGCAATAACCAAGGCAGTGAACGCGACCGTGCTGATCCCTTTCAATAGATGACGAACTCTCTCCGATTCAGACATGGACGTGCCGAGACGGTGACAGAGAGCAAGCACATCCTCTATGTATGAGGTGTAAAACTAACCGCATTGTTGCTTGCGAGCAGCCAGTGTCTTCTTCGCGAGAGCTGAACGAACCGCCGGGGTGCCGAAAATTTGGCAAAGCTGTTGCTTGAAATGTGTCCAGTCTGTGATGTCCGTTTTATGATTGAAAAACCATGTTTTCGCTATGCCTGTCAGATAAAAAGAAACACGGCGAAGTTTGGTAGGATCATCCCAGTTGTTAGTGGAACTCGCTCGATTGAACTGATCCAGCCAATCCTCCACATCTTCACCTCGAAGTACGGCGAATGTGGGGGGCTCACGCTGGTACGCGGTGATAATCCACGATGGATAGGCTGCGGTAGTAGGGGCCGTGGTGTTAGATGCAGAAGCGCCTGTTGCTGCTCGTTCTGATGCATGTTACTGGACACTTGGCTCAGACGATGACCTGAGAGGAGCTCCAGGAGGTAGAGCGGGCTGGGAGAGGACGGAAAATCGCATAGCACACTCCACCTTTTGTGATGCAACGGTGAAGGCAATCTTTACTAGGCCCAGAAGACATGATAAAGCGACCACACCCAAGGCAAAAGAACCCAGGCAAGCCAAGTGCCCACAGCAGATGAAGATGACGACCACTCATGATGATGAACATGTGTGAAGAAAGTAGATGTGCTTAATGAATGCCTACACTACTAATATCCCCTATACTTTCATTGGCATCATTTTCTGTTGGTCCATTAATACCGTGTCTGACAAAGAAAATAGCCGTTAAATTTCCACTTCTTTGCTTAAGTGCTGTTCAATTTATAGGCTCATATTTCAAGACCTTAGCTTTATGTGTGTAATTCTCTGTTTTTTTGCTGGTTGCATGGTTGCCCATATTCCAAAATACTTAACTAACTGTAGGATCTAAGACAATTCAAAAAAGCATTCTTTTTTTGGGGGGGCGGGGGAGGTGGAAGGGTGTAAAACAGCTTAGTCAGTGTTTCATATCAAAACTTGTTGAAATATTGGTTTCAACGACCATCCTGTTTCAAGAAGTTTGTACCTCTATGGGCATCAGACACATGTGTGGTTTGCTATGCATGATCATGTAAATACAGTAGCACAGTGTGCAGCAGTGCTATTATATTTCTTTCTTGCTGCGGTCATGTGCAGGTGTTTTCTTGCATGACACGTTCACACCTGGTAAGTACCACTGCAAAGCTTTGTTTGTAATTTTTACTTCTGTGGCATGACACTAAAGAGACAGGCCTGTTATCGTATGGGCGGTGCTTCATGCCAATGAAACTTCTGATGCTTCACAGTGTTTGAATTTACAAATGAGCAGGTTTTACCTTTTCAAAGGCTTAAAAAGAAGTTGCGAAATTGGCACAAGGCTTCTCAAAAAGAGAAATTCAATGATTCTGAAGACTAATCTCGTTGCTTTTAAGCTTTAGCTAGGTTTTTTTTACGTTGATTCTCAGCGCAGACGTCTTCGAGCTAAACCGCAGGCAGTCACAGACACGACGTGGATGTCCAAGCTTCCGAGAGAGAAATTCATGCTGATGCAAAACGTTCGCGCCTCTCTTAGATCTACAGCTCATCGCTGTTAGTGTGACCTTCTATCACTTCAGCGTCTTCTCGCAGCGGCGTTGCCTTTCCCATTTCCTAGCATTCTCTGGTTGTGTTATTTACGCAGGGCCTCCAGCCAGCCGCTATCACTTTGCAGCCATTCGTTGGCATAAGTGTTGCCGTGTTCATTTTTAGTAAATCAGTGGTGAGTACTAGTAGGATTTACCCAATTTCGGTGACACATATTCGTTTGGGATATTTTCCCAATAATCTGCACATAAAAATAATGGCTAGACCAAACAGCTTAGCTCTTTACAAAGTGAGGCTAAAAGTCATTCATCCTGAAGTGGCTTCGCTGTGAGCACAAAACCACATTTGCTTCGTATGGTAGTTTCATTTTGGCTCTAACCGTGTGCAGTCCCTTAAGCTTGGTCGGCAAGAGTGATTGTTTCATCTGTCATGGCTTTCTTTAAAGCAATTGTGTAAATGGTAGTTTTGTGTTGACTTGCTAGGTGCTGGCCTATAACCTCCAGAAATACATTGTCACAGTCCGCGATAGCATCACGGGCAGGGGTGTTGGTGGGTGGCAGTTTTCTGACTCACTGTAGTAAATGTTTAACACTACTAAATAGTAGTATACATTTAATCAAAAGGGAGGCGAAGAGGGCTGGCTCAGTGTTACCAGCTAATTGCAGATTACTTGAAAATAGTGAGGGTTTTCTCGCATGGGTAGGTGCATTTCCTTGGGAAGTTCACCTTTGTATAAATGTTCACAACTCACAATTTTATGCACAGCTGACAAAAGTGATTCATTTTGGCGAAGTAAGGTTGATGTTCCTTTGAATAACATCGATAATAAACCTGTCGATGTGTGAATTCGAATGAGGTGTTAGTGCTGCTTGATGTTATTAGGGGGTCTTCGACGTGGTTCAGCAATCTGACTTAGTAGTTGGCTTACTCAGACTTAAATCGATCTGTGAGTCTGCGTCTGAGTGAGTCCAGGTGAGTAATGTTTTAGCGAGGTTGAGTACGAGCAAGTCCGCTTCAGAAAAAATTTTGGTGAGCCCGAGTGAGCATGAGTGAGCTTCTCTCATTTCGCTGATCTACGGTCAGAAGCAAATAAAATGTGGTTTCTCTCATTCAATGACAGAACATCACTTCAATGTAAACGAGGCAGTAGTTAACCAGAAAAATGAGCAGAATTTTCACAGCTAACTCGCCAAAAACAAAAATTAGCCATTTTGGGCAAAAAAGAAATGATAAATATTTTGTAAACTGTGCCTCCTTTCATAAAAAAATCCAGACAACGCCACCCAATTCGAACCGCAATGGTAGAAATCTAACCCTATTCGTTGCAAACAAAGCTCTCATGTGGAGGCTGAAACTGTATATACGTCGACTCCTCCTAAACAGAACTCAAAGGGGATCCATAAAATTGTTCCATTCATCAGAAGTTTTATTTAAGCAAAGTACACTTATTTAGTGAACCAAGACCTTTATTCAAATTGCACAAACCTCACCTTACTCATGAGGATGAGTAGGAGAAAAAAAGGAGTGAAGAGTGGCTTGTTTGGCAAGCTTGAGTTGATTTTTCACAAGGTACCCACCCATGCCTGACAAACTAGCTAGAAATTCTGGACAAGCCTCAAGCTCAAAATAGCGCTGCAAAAGTTCAACAGCCTCTTTAGCTGATCAGTCTGGTGGCACCACTGCACTGGCAGTATTGTCATCACATTCATCGCTGAAGGATTGATCCTCATTGTGCACTTCCGCAAACATTTCCTTGGCAGTCTCTTTACGACAGGTACGAACATATACATCAATTGATTTGTAGTCCTGCAGCGTGAAAGGGGCAGAGGGTACGACCTGACTGAATACTGTCTCAATGTCGGCATCAGCAGGGCTTTCTTCTGCATCAGGTACTGCTTTCTTGCACTTGAAAGCCAGCATGGTGAAAGCATCTGTGTATTGTTGTTGCCTTCACTTGCTCCCAGGCATGCCAAAATGTGGATGGCTGCCTATAAAACTATGCTGTAGCATTTCCCGCTGCCTGCTCTACGCAGCATTTAATGGAGCAATTGTCTGCGGTAATTAACTTTAATGTTCTGAATAATCCCTTGATTCATAGGCTAGATCACTGCCGTTGAATTGGCTGGCAAGAACTCCAGAGTGATGGCTTGGAGTACTTGAACCTGACCGTGGGCTGGGCAATTATCCACGAAGACAACCTTCCTGCCTTGCCTCGTAAATCTTGCGTCTTCCTCCCGAAACCAGTTTTCGAAGATGGCCATGGTCATCCAGGCTTTTTGTTCCCATGGTACGCAACGGGAAGGTGTTGAACGCCTTTAAAACAATGTGGATGCCTTGATTTTCCTGTTACCAAGAGCTTCAATTTTTCATCTCCTGCCATGTTTGCACCCACCAACACAGTGATGCAATCTTTACTGCATTTTCCTTCCCTATAGGCTTCGCCTTTGGAGATGAGAGTTTTTAATAGAAGCGCCTTATAAAAAAGACCCATCTCTTCGACGGAGAAGACGTCTCGTGGCTCAAAGCTCATCAAAATTTCCTTAAACCACCCCTGTTGCCAGTCGGTGCAAATGTCCCTGTTGACTGCACCACTCTCACCTGAGATTGCTTTGAAGACTAGGCCATGGCGTGTTTTGAAACGGCTGAGCCATCCGTTGCTTAGGACAACGTTCTTCACACCCATTTGCATGGCAATTTCTCGAGCTTTCTGCTCGAGAATCGATCCGCTTATGGGCAAATTGGAACTCCGTGCATGCTTGAACCACAGAAAAAGAACTTTTCTAGTAGTTCATAAGGCGTCATCCACATCCGTTAAGATGTAAAAGTCTTGTTCTTAACAGTGCCTTCAATCTTTTTTCCGTCTTTCCAAATCCACGACAGCGTCGATTTCGGGATGTATTTTTTCGCCACCTCCATCTTGGGCCGCTTCGATCGAGCTTCTGAAGAATTTGCAGTTTTTTTTTTTTCAATGTAGAGTGTATGGTACGGTCGCTTCCTTTCCATCAGGCTGAAATTACACCGTGATCTACCCGAACTTCGCCGCACAATTAGGCCTAACACACAATTGACTCCCCGACTTGGCTCCCACAGCCACAAGCCAGAATAGCTACTGTATTGGCTCGTTTCGATCTCAAGGTGTTGCCATGGTTGTGAGACTACCTTAGGCATGAGCGAGTCCACGCTGTGTTTTAGAGTTTGTGCCGTTTAACCATAGGTGACCAATAAGCACTGTTTCGATTAACCGATGAACTTTATTGCACAACACATAGAAATCCAGCCAACAACACATAGAAATCCAGCCATATGAGCCCGTTTAGTTTCGTTAATGAGGCATTTTCATATAAGGGAGTTGTGTTTATTGGTAGTCCCCTGTATTTTCATCAGTCAGGGTCCGAAAGAAATCGCCCAAAATATTTTTTCTGATGCATTTACTGGGTGGTCCCTAATTTGTCATGACATTTTGTATGTGCATTCATGCATTACGAGATCATAAAAGCTGTTTTGGACCTCTTAGTTGGGACATATTTACAATGCAATCTAAAAACAATTTCTTACAGGTGAGCAATACTCCGCTCTGTTATATGCAGTCACATTTTGGTAGAGGGGCGATGTTAGTGCACTTTAAAGAACACCAGATGGATGAATATTCTGAAGCCCTCCTTTATGGTACCTCTCATACACTTGAACCACGATATAATGAACCCAGATACAATTAAATATCGGAAAATAGTCTTGCAATAAATATAATGTTAGGAATAAACCTTTATTACAAATTTTCAGATATAACAAACTTATCTTTCTATGAAATGCAGCTTTGTTATAACGAGGCATCAGTGTAATTATATTGTAGTTCTGCTATGTGAAATCTGAATTTATTTATATATATATATATATATATATATATAGGCTACTTGATGACTGTGCTTCAGTATTATGAATGAATATATCTGCCACACAATGAAAATTTGTTATACAGCTAAATGTCACATTATTAGATGGCCAGAGTCTGCAAAGCACTGAAGTGGAGTTGCTTCTTCAGTGTTTATTGTGCATCGTCATCCATCAGCTGTCATCTCGAGCCAGCTGGCTTAATTCAAAATTTGCAATTACTGAGGTGAGGGAACTCATGACTTGTCTCATGATTTGTTCTCTTGCAGGTTCTACAGGCACGCTCACAATGTGATTGGCGTGGAGTACATCGAGAAGTCGGCGAGTGAGTTCTTCACGGAGAGTGGCCTTCCTTTTGAGGAAACTACCTGCCATGTCTTGAAGTGTAAAGTCTTCCGTGTGAGTGGACCATGTCTCGCTCCTCATAGAATGCACTTGAATCATTGAAGCCAGTGCTCCCACAATGGGAATATGTCTTCCATCGAGGCTTAAAGGGAAGCTGTAGATGTCTTAGAGTTCGATAAAACTTCGTGGTTTACAAGGGCCGTCACTGCTGTCTACGATCTATTTTTTTTTGCAGTTGTAGCAGAAGTTTTATAATGTGCGAAAGAAAAGTTTGTCTAGCTTTTCCGATGCGAGTGGTCCAAAAGTGCGAGTGTAGAAACCTACATCTGATTCAGTTCTTTTAGTGAAGCCGTGCTGCACTCTGATGGGAGGTTCATGCTAATCGCTGATTCGAACCTTGAGAGCTGTGAATTGCTTCATCTGGAATTACGCCAAACTGCCGAGCACAACGTGAACAAGTGTCTCTCCCATCTTCTGGGGTGGTTCCCCTGTGAGAATAACTCATAATGTGCCGTTGTTGTAGCTGATTGAGAAGGCCATGCTTCAGTAGTGTTGAGTAAACTCATAGAGTTTCCTATAAACACATTAGAAAACTCTGCCGCTAGTGTCTACGGGAGCTGCAATGCAATCTCACTTCAGTGAGCATTGAATGTTGGGTAGTAGTACATGGATTTGCCTAATCTTCGTACTTTCGGGTCTGTTTGGCTTTGGGTGGCTTGAAGCTGCTTTATTACAAAATGAGAAACAGCAAATGTTCGGCGATTGCACTTCACTACCTTAACCATTTAGGCTCACCGATTCAAACTGGGTAACAAAGTTTAAAATGGTTTGCTCTTTTATTCGAAAGAAAACCAAAACACAATAATAAAGAAAGCCACAAGTGCGTTTGAAGCTCGCTAGTACGAAGACTATAGTCCGTGACAACCTAAGAATAAAGATAAGCTTCACCCACGAGCTTGCATTGCCCTTATTTACCATGCCTCTGCGCAACAAAGGAAGTAGTTCTCAAGCAATGCCAATAATTTTCATCCATATAACCGTTATCTTCCAATACTTCAATGATGTTGAAATAGAAAAACCAAAGCTTGCATAAGCAACTTGAAAAGGCACGAAGTTCAGCACCAGCTTAGCGATGTATCTGTTGTTTAAATCGAAACCCGCACCACGCTCATCTCAGAGGCCAGGAATAAGCAATGTATATCTTTCGAAGGTGACGTTTCTGCACGGTACCCAAGTTTGTCAGTACCACAATTTCCATAATGTCTAATATTAAGAAAAATTTCTTTTGCAGTTTCACAGAATGAAACAAGGGCATTAATCTCATTTCTTAAGTAGTTTGCAATTTTTTTGTTGTTTTACAAAACTTTCACTGCCAGATCTTTTGGCTGTCTTCTGTAACTATGGCAAATATGACTGAAAGCGAACAATAAAAAAGTGATCTGAAATTGACTTCATGAATTTTTATTCTTCTGCTGCCGTAAATACCGAATATGCATCCCGCATCGCCGTGCTTTCCATCGTGTTTGAAGTAAACGCTAGTGTTTCAGTCGGCCTTTTGTTTCATCGAAATAAAAGGGTGCAGCGCACATTGCATCTAACAGTGACGGTAATTGCATACGTTATTAAGTTAATGCCAAGGTGATGTTTGTGACTGAAGCGACGGTGACGAAAGTGTGCAGGTGAATCTTTTTTCTTGCTTCCGACAACTTGCACTCCATGTTGTAATGTGCAGGTGAATTTTTTTTCTTGCTTCCGACAACTTGCACTCTATGGTGTTGCCGTTGCAACACCATAGAGTGCAACACCATCATTGTATATCTGTATATGTGCCTTGACCATTGATTTGTTTATTCGGATACCTACAGCACTTTTTTGCGGAATCTCTTTTGGCAAGCGTTCGATTTAATCTCTGTTGCTAATAGTGAATTTTAGAATTTCGCCGAGCAAGTGGCAAGCAGTGCTATCACTGTGATTCAAACTTATGCTGACTTCTTAATTGTGGGGAAGTAATTCTCTACGTCTGTTCTTCTGATTGTTGCAGACTCTCGACCATCGTTTGCAGATATTTGTCTGCAGCATATTTGAATTCAACAGGTCAGTATCCCGTGTGATCTTATTTGCCTTCAGGTTATATTGCATTGAGAATACAGACACTACAGAGTGTCCATGTACTGTAAACTCTTGTTAAGATGAACTTTGTTAAGAGGAATTCTTGCTTAAGACGAACAACTTGGGAATGTTTGTTTGGTTTCCCATAGAATCAATGCAAAAAAAAAATCTGGTTACTAAGACAAACCGTGTAACAGGGCTCTTCTGTAAAGAGGAACTCTGGCAGCGACCGACAATGACAGGGATTCGGGGCAACGAACATTATAGTCTTCATGGGAGCATTTAGGTGAACAAGAGAAAACAAAATATGAAGAAAAAAATTCTGGTGCAAAGACTCAAAGCAAGTCTGAAGCAAGATAACTAGAAAAGAAAGGTCAGCCAAGAAAGCAACAAAAAGCGTGCATATTTTTGTATTTTTCTTGTGGTCTTCAGTTCCTCAACAGGAGTACCGTGGAGAATGAAAGAACACAAGAGCTTGGCTAAAGATAAAAACACAAAAGAAGGGGGGCAAAAAAAAAAGTCAAGGGGAAGCGAAAATGCGAACAAAGATTGTCTGTACATTAAAATCGCATGAAACTGGAACCACTAGCACTCCCATCGGAGGAGTCAGATGTATTGTCATCGTTGTCACACAATGGTGCCAGAGCACATGTTGTGGTTATAGTGTGTTGTTTTGCATAGGGTCTGCGTGCATTGTATATGTCCCCAGTGAAATGCAGCAAATTGTGATGCACCACACAGTTTCGTTATAAAGGTGCACAAAAAAGGAAGCTAATTTTGCACACTAAATATAGCTGCATCGTGTCTTCTCTGTGTGCTCGAGGCTTGATATCATGAGTGGCGTGAACGAAGATCTTCAGCTATACGTCGTTCAGGAAAAGTTACTGCGGGCTGAAAATAAGAAAAAAAATGACCTCAAAGAAAAGCTTGCAGACTCTCATAAGCAACTTGGCATATATTGGCTTTGTCAAAGTTGCAGTATGCAACGAAGGTGTATCGAAAAGTGATAGCAAAGGAGGTAAAACGGCCTCTCTGGAGGTGAGCGGCCAGAAGAGTAAATTTTTCATTGAAGGAAGATTGTGCTTGTCTCTCTTTTTTTAATCTTTTTTCTAATTGTGAATAGGGCCATGCTACAGATTTATTGTTAAAATGTGGTAGGAGTTTATACATGAGCATATTTATTATAAACTCACAAAATCTAGTACTCATTAAATTAGTGTAAGTACTCTATACTAGAAAGCGTGGTTCGGGTAAAGCTGAGCCAAATAACTGCTTTCTCTTTGTTTTTCCTCCCCATTGTAAGTATACTTCATTCAGCGTTTTTAAGAAGGTATTTGGGTGCACTTAGCATGTTAGCATTTGATTTTTGGGGGCACTTCTGATAAGACAAGCTTCTGATAAGACAAATGATTGTGGTCTCTTTGATTTCGTCTTAGAGGGAGTCTACTGTACACACCATGAATGTGAATTTACAGGGCAGTGATTTACCAGTGTCACATAAACAGATTTTGCTCCGAGGATCAAGAGTTAGACAGGAGTGCAAGCAACCCACAGTGCATCCAGCAGCACTAATAATGGAACCATCGTATTGGACTTGGGTCTGCAGTAGAGCCAGGGCAGCGTTCTGCATTCCATCACTTGCATTCACCACTTGTGTGAACATGCGCGCTGGAGCCCCTCTTAAAATTGCATGTAGATGCATTTCGTGAGTGCAACAGGCAATAAATGGGGACCTCAAACTATGTTCAGACATGTCTGTGCGGGTCAGGTCATAAAGGGATAAATGGAAGGGAGGATTTCTGGAACTTCAGTAAGGTGAAAGAAATGAATGAGCACTAAGGAATGCAGGCATTAACCAGAGGCACGCAGGACAGGTGCTCTAGAGTGCCCGTCCCGTGTGCCTGTTCTGTGTGTTCACATTTTTTAGCACTCGTTTGTTTTTCGTCAAGCATGAACCAACTTTCCCGTGTCTTATTCAGTAAAGGATTGACTGACGGGTTACTCGGTTCAGCATAATAGAAAAATGCGGCGCTTCAAGATAACACACGTGGAAAGTACCACTCGCACATTGTTGCACTGTGGTCGTTTTCTTGTGCCGGGCTTCAAGCAACTTTTTTTTTTTGTCAAGAGAAGTAGCAACTCTTATTGCTATTCAAATTTACCACTCGCAGGACTAATGTCTGGCTTGCGGGCTTGTCTTGCGCATGGTCTATCGGTGGATAAAGTTGATTGGCACTCCAACAAACAAAAATGAAACTCCCTTCGAACTGTCCCCGGTAGCTTTCTTTCATCATTGTTATGGCCAGCTGTCGGATGTGTGTGTAATATTACATTTGCTTTCCAAGCTTCAAACCGTACCGACTGTCAATTACTGGTAATGCTGGAATGCTTTTGAAACATCGTGCCTTGCTGCAGGAATTGCGCTGGAACGATGGACATTGTCTGGGACCGGGGTGCCCTGGTAGCCGTAAACGATGACGAGCGCCCAAGGTGAGCCCCAGATATAACTACAGTTGCTCGCAAGAAAAACGAGGACAGGAGAGGCATGGACGAGCACGAACGAACTCACCCAGCAGCAAGTTTTATTGAGCCCAAGATTTCTGTTGGCTGAGCAGTAGGGCAGAAAAAAGCAAGGCTTTATTTTATTCTGATGTCACACCGTAATCTGTAACTTGTGCAGTTATTCGTGTACGGCATTGTGGGAAAATGCACAACTGATGAAACTGGCACACATTTTAGGCAAGGAAAAGCACAGGGGCCATTATTTATAGTTTCTCAACTGTGATGTGGTGAATTCCACTTCAATTGAAAGAAATTGTAGCGGATGACGAACCACCCTTCCCGCCGTTGGAATTCAAACCCACAATTTTCACGTAATACGTCCGAAGCTCTCACGTTCCCCGTGACACCTTCTGGCAAGAAAGAAGAGTGCTGGTTTAGGAAGGGTGCTGGCTAACACCTAGCAGATTTCAGCACACATAAATACCTGACAAAAAAGGTAGATGGGAGGGCAGCTCGAATGGTCGAGTGTTGTACTTGCACCTTGAAAGTTTATATCTCTATTGTGAATGGATGGGGTCCTCTTTCATCAGTCCTGTTCACAAGCTAACAGTAACAAGTGCAAATCAGGGGGCATCGACAAATTTTATTTCTGTCAAGAGATTTTTTTTTTCATCAATATTGTTCATATGTATGATGATGCTTATTTTTAAGTTGTTACCTTGAAATGTGCGTACTAGCGATGTCGGGACAGGGCTTTAAAATGAAAGATTTATGATTCTTCATGTCAAATTTTGCAGGTATGCAAGTATTATGAAGTCACTTCTGTCACCTGGCTTTTCCTATGCACTCTGCACTGTTGTATACAACGACCCATCTTTCAAAGGTCAGTTTTTTTCGCCTAGTACTACATACTATGTTATCATGCACAGTACTCACGATTTGAAACGTGACATGAAAGTTCAGTATTACTACCAGTAATTACCATTTTCCCAGTCAACTACATCATATCCCTATAAATGAGGCATCTAAAGATAACGTTGGCTCTGATCTAAGCATTCGAGTTCGAATTACTCTCATATAACTCAAACCTCAGATAGTGGAAGCAAAGGTTTTGTGCTATAGTTAGGTGCAAATCATCGGTATTTACTGCAGTACTGTGCAGTCCGAACCCGCAATAACAAAATAGTGTAGCAATGAAATTCTCTAAACAAAAAATTTTTATATTCAGTGAACGACCGTAGCATTTAATGCTTGTTGTATTGTATTTTCTCACATATAACTCGCACCGAAAATTTAAAAAAATCGCCTGAAAAGAGGGGGTGCGGGTTATGTGCGAATAATCTGAAAGCAGAGGACGGCTTGACGGCAATGCATGGCTTCCCGTGCAATCCGCGTCTGCATCCGCATCGTCTCACACAAAACCAATAAAAGCCAACACAGGCCAAAGACAGCTCCTGTTCGTGGCGTGCTTATTCACTTTTTGCGTGCTTTGTTTGATTTGGTCAACAGTGTCACAGCAGCAATTTGATAGCGTCTTTCTCCGAGTCAGGTTTGGCCAGTTTGCACCGTTGGTCAGCCTTGTCTGGTGAGGTACCGCGAGTGGGCCTATGCGGCAATATTTAACCGGGAAACAAAAACTCAAGATTATTGTTGCTGCGGAAGAAATTGGCAACAGAGCTGCTACGAAGAGGCATGAAGTCGACGAGTACTGCATTTGTGACTGGCGAAAAAAAAAGGCCTCTCTCGAAAGGAGAAGCGAGCATTTCGCGGCCCGAAGACTGGGGTGTACCCCCTTCTTGAGGTGCAGCTTGTCAATTTATTGAGGAGTGGAGGAGTCGCGACCACGATGTGTCGACGAAGGTGGCGCAAATGGAAGGGCTGAGGTTGACCCGCAATGTTAATTCTCACGCAAGTTTCGTGCGAGCCGTGGATGGCTTCAGCGATTCATGGCCAGGCACGGATTTTCGATGCGGCAATGAATGACTATGTGCTAGCAGCTTCCCAACACCTAGGAGGATAAGCTGCTGAGCCATTAACATTACGTCATCGGGCTGCGGAAAGAGCACAACTACTTGCTCTCTCAGGTGCGAAATGCTGATCAAACGCCCGTGTACTTCGAGATGCCCATGGACACCACTCTGCAGAAAAAGGGCTCGAAATCTGTAAGTGTACTGACGGGCAGAAACTCCAAAATACACTGCACAGTAACGTTTTGCGCTTTGGCGGACGGTACCAAGCTGCGCCCGTATGTAATCTTCAAGTGCAAAACGCTACCCAGCACTCTACCACCACCAGGAATTTTTGTGCGAATGGAAGATAACGCAAGGATGAATGGTGACCTCCTCTGTGACTGGCTTCGCATGATTTGGGAAAAGAGGCCGGGCGCCATGTTGGCATGGCGGTCGATGCTAGTGTTGGACTCGTTTCGAGGCTACTGCACTGACACAAGGAAAGTGCGCCCTGCTGACCATCGCACCAACCTTGTGATCATACCCAGTGGCATGACTTCCATGCTACAGCCACTGAACGTGTGCCTCAATAAGTCATTCAAGGTGCACATGAAGCGACTGTATGGCCCCGCCGCGGTGGTCTAGTGGCTAAGGCACTCGGCTGCTGACCCGCATGGCGCGGGTTCGAATCCCGGGTGCGGCGGCTGCATTTCCGATGGAGGCGGAAATGTTGTAGGCCCGTGTGCTCAGATTTGGGTGCACGTTAAAGAACCCCAGGTGGTCTAAATTTCCGGAGCCCTCCACTACGGCGTCTCTCATAATCATGAAGTGGTTTTGGGACGTTAAACCCCACATATCAATCAAGCGACTGTATGCCGAGTAGATGGATGACTGCCGTTACGCTTTTACACTGACTAGGTGCGTGCGGAGGCCAGACATTGTGCTGCTGTGCCAGTGGATTGTGGATGTGGTGGGGGCGATTCCGGTCGACATGGTGCGCAAAGGCTTCAAAAAGTGCGCCATCAGCAATTGCTTGTATGGCACTGAAGACTATTGTGTCTTCGAGAGGGGTGACGGAGCCTCGGATGGCAGCAGCGACAGCGGCGAGTCAGACGATGATTGAAGGAACGGGAATTGGCGCCGTCGCCGTTGTGGCGATCCCCTCGAAATAAAGTTCTCCTGTAAAAGAGATTGTGATGTGCTGTGCAGTGGTGACTTCCGAAAACAGTTTTTTAAGCTAAGCATGCGGTTTACTAGCAAGCAATTTTTTTTTTTTTCAAAGTTAGGGGTGTCTTCAAAGTTAGGGAGTTCAAAGTTAGGGGTGCAGGTTATATGTGAGAAAATATGGTATTACTTGACTCCAAAATTATGCTAGCCTGCAGTACCGCAGCAATAAAAATTGACAGGACGTTTACCTGTGCATTCTGTGCTCGTCCAAGGTCAACGTACTTAAAATCGCTTCAACTGCATTAGGTACCAACATATTGAACTTGAATGGGCACTATCACCTTTCCTTAGGAAATCGGTGCAGTGCCAAAAAGCAGTCTCATGCAACCGACATTGTTTTTAGCACCTAGTTGCTAGTTTATATAGATTTTGTGTGTGTATATGCACAGCCGCATTAGAGTGTACCTGCATGGCCGTTGAAGCTACTGGCATGGCGCCTCCCTGTTTACCATTATGGGGCTGCCGTGTGAAAGATGTTTCGTTTGTATGCACAGAGTTTCTCTCGCCATTCGAAGGATGGGTCGGGGACTCATCTAAGTAGGAATTTGCAAATAGTCAATTTTAGGTGCGAAGTGAGTTTGAAGTGAATGTCATTTGGTCAAATAATTACAAATTGAATTCAGATTGCATAGAAAACATATTCTGAAAAAAAAAATTGCATATTTGTCTTTACTCCACTAGCCTGCACAATATTTTTTATAACTGAGAGAGGACATGTGCAAATAATATTGCTTTTGGTTCAAAGAAAGTGGAAGCATTTTTGAATAGTAGTAGGAATTGAATTTCTGTCGGATGCAAGTGATATCTAGTAAAATATACTACTGTTTAAAATTCATTAGACTGCATAAGTCGGTACTACAGGCTTTTCACCTAAAAAACGGTGAATCATATCTTCATCTAACCTGGAAATAGGGCTTCGCGGCAGTGCGAGTTTTTTTTTTTCTTAAGTAGCGATATTCATGGTAGAGCAGTGCACATGGCATTTTCAGGTCCCGCCCAACCCAAAAATGTCGTGCTCGAGCCCACCCAAGCCTAGTCCGGGGATCTTAAATATGGCCCCTCCGGGCCTGAAAGCTGTAGGCGTGTCGGGTGTCCGATGCGCGTTCTGCCTCAGAGACCAAAAGCGGAAGACAGGTTGCCTGGTCACCGATTGCCAAAGCCCTCTGTGTGAACACGGGAGCGAAATTCTGGCTGTCTATGGCTCGCTGTTGTGGTTGCATGCTTGCAGCTCACGCTAGCGACAATGGAGGAGAAATAGATGTGTGGCAGAAAGGGAAAAGTGGCGACTGTGGTGGGGAAGAGAAGGTGGATGGTAAAGAAGCCAACTTCCCACAGGGCTAGTGCCTTTGTGGAAAGTCGCTTCACGTGCATCAGGCATATTCTATTGCTTAAGTAGGCTTCAATACAGATGGCCTCAGCTTTTTGGTCGACAAAATAAGATAATTAATAAGTTTAAAAAATAAAGTCAAACAGTGTACATATGCCATTATGCAGATATGTATGAGACCCAGGCCTGATACGGGCCTGAATCAGGCCTGAGCCCAGCCCGAGCCCAATCCAACAATCGCTTACCTGGCCCTGCTGTGCCCGCGGGCTGCGCCAGACCTGGGCCCTAGCAGCGCTCCAATTCTTGTTATAGCAGCTCTCCACTGGAGTGACACCACCTTTATAAAGCTAACATGCAGCTTATATGCATTTTTTTTTTCATTTTGAATACTTTGAAGTTTAGAACACTGTCAATTCGTGTTGAAGTGATTTCACTTCATTCCAATATTCACAGTGGTCAAATATTTGCACATACCTATGTCTTAGTGATGTTTTGTGGCAACTGCACAGAGATGCGGCCAATTAGCGGCACAAGAGTAAGTGCTATGACCATAATTGATGCGTATGAATTGAGAATGTTGGTTTCAATGTGATATTTCATCAGAATGCACTACGACAGTGCAGCATTATACAGTTTTCTGCGTTGCTAAGGAAGAGCTGTGCGTCCACTATGTAGAAATGGTCAACAAAAAAGGCTGGTCACTTTCCCATCTGCACTGTAAAATTTCGCGATTATGAAATTCTAGCAGCGAGAAATTTTAAGTTTTCTCATCAATTTCGTCATTGTTGGGCTCGACTGTAATCGCGATATTGTGCCAGTCATCTTGCCACCACTGTTTCGCATCATCCAAGCTGCGTCAAGCTGTTGTTGATTGCAAGGGCTGTCTTCATCTCATATAATAGTGTTTTCAAGTGCAGAGCGCTTTAGGGACCCGGGCTGTTGTGTGTCGTCATCGCATTCTGTTGTGGCGGGGTGCAACACAGACAAAATGACGATTAGTACAGCCATCTTTAGTATATTGAGCACACGTACACACGTACCTTGGGGACGTCGTTTGTCTTTCGTTATTCAAGCACCTTATATTGAGTGCCGAGCACTTTAGGGGTCTGGGCAGTCTGCTGCTGTCACTTAACATAACATAGGCAAAACACCATATAAAAATTCTTGCACAGAAAAAAAAAGACTAAGCAAGTGACAAATGGCGAGACAGAGAAAGCAATGGAAAAAAAGTATGAAGGAAAATGGAAAAGAGAAACAAATAGATAGAGGAAGGAATCAATAGAAAAGGCTTGTGCAAATGTTTGAATGCTTAGAATATTCGAATGAATAATGCAGTATTCAAATTCGCTTCTATGTGAATTTAAGGGTTTGAACATTTTAGAAGTATTTGAGAGGAACGAGTACATTAGTCCGCATGTATTTTTTTTTGCAAAGGTGCTTTCTCTGCAGTGCAGTTGTGCTAAACTGCGAAAGCACTCAAGTGTATACCGTATTTTCCGGTGTATAAGGCGCACCTTTGTATAAGACGCACCCCCCAGTTTTCGCAAGTTTTCATGCAAAAATTAATATATAAGACGCACCGGTGTATAAGACGCACCTACATTCACTCACTTTCCGCAAGGAAACTTCATAACGTGCAGTTGAGCGAGCATTGTAAAATGCCGTACTTACGTTTCTGAGCGCCAGTCCGTAAGAAAACTTATACTACACCGAATTTGTGAGAAAAAAATAATGCGCACCCACTGAAACGTTCCGCACGACTGCAGGAAAACATTTTATTCCTCAAAGCCCTCAAAGTCCTCGTCCTCCGACGCGCTTTGGAATAGTTCAGCGAGCTCTGGCGGCAGTGACGCTGGGACTTCTTCTGTTTCCTCTTCGGAATCTCTGCTGCTGCTGCTGTCGTCGTCGTCGAGGCCAGGGGCTGAGGATGCTAGCAGGCCTGCCTTGCGGAACCCCGCAGTTACGGTGGCCTGTGACACCACCAGGCTTCGCGCACCCACTTTGCGACCTCGCAAAACGAAGCACGCCTCATGCGTCCAGTTGCGGTATAGCTATGCTCGCCGTCGGACATCCATGACTCCCACAGGCGCCGCAGAATAGCCTTGAAACTGCGGTTCACCGAGATGTCCAACGGCTGAAGCAGTTTTGTCATCCAGCCTGGGATAACCGCAGCGGTGCAGTTTTCTGCCTTGATGCGCTTCAAAGTGAGCTCCGTTATATGCGCCCGCATGCTATCCAATACCAGGAGGCCCTTCTTCGCATGAAAGAAACCGTCCGGTCGCTTAGAAAAGCATTTTTCAAGCCACTTGCCCATCATCTCTTCGTTCATCCAGCCTTTCACGTTCGTTTCTATGACGACACCAGGCGGGAAAGACTCTTTCGGCATCGTCTTCCGCTTGAATATAATCATTGGCGGAAGTTTTTGCCCGTCGGCGCAACATGCCAGCACAACCGTGAAGTGCGCTTTTTCGTGGCTGGTAGTTTTGATGGTGACAGACTTGTCACCTTTCGGTGCCACACTCCTTTCCATTGGAATGTCAAACGTAAGTGGCACCTCGTCCATGTTTATTATATGGCTGTTGCCGATGCCATCGTCTTCAATGGCTTTCTTAACGAAAGCCTGGAATCTTTCAAGCTTGTCCTTGAAATCTGCTGGCAGATTCTGGCACATGCTTGTGCGGGCCCTCATCGCCAGCGCTTTGCGGCGCATAAATCTGGAGCACCAGGACGGCCCGCCAACAAAATCAACGGCGCCCACCTCCTTAGCTAGCGCCTGCGCTTTGAGACGCAGCTGCACCGTTGACATCGCCCTACCTTGGGCACGCTGCTCCAGTATCCATGAGTGCAGACGTCCCTCAAGGTCTGGCCATCGTGCTTTCTTGCCGCGGTTAGCTTTCTTGTCACTCTTCATGGCCTGAAGCTTATCAGTCGACTGTCGGCATGTGCGGACCATCTTCTCCGTGACGTCGAAATGACGGCCCGCTGCCCGGTTTCCGTAGTCCTCTGCATACTTCACAGCAGCAAGCTTAAACTTCGCCGTGTAACTTTTCCGTTTAGCCGGCATACTGCAGGTGAAGGTAACAAAGGCGCGGACCAACCGAACGAATGAAGTTGCAAATGGCGACTAGTCCAACTCGCTGAACGACAGCGTAGCGGTGGTAGCCGCAGTAGCGGCCGAATCCGAACCAAACCGCCGAACCCGTCGCGCACCTATCGCCATCTTACGCCGATTTCACTCACTGAGTACAGCTCTCTATGGTACAGCCTCCGAAACTTGCGCAGCTTCAGTGAGCTGAGAACTCGCACGACGACATACTTTTTTAAATTTTTCCGTTTTATGTACTTTGGTTTTGTTTTAAAACTTGTAGTACCGGCACGTTGAGTGTTCGTTATTATAATTATGATGCATAATTCGCATTGGACTGCTCTAGTGGTTTAAAAAAAAAGACTGATGAGCATCAACACGAGTTTCTCCCAAAAAACTACCAAAAAAAGTGCGTATAAGACGCACCGTTGTATAAGACGCACCTCCGAAAATTTTGGAAAAAAACCGCGTCTTATACACCGAAAAATACGGTATTAGTGTGCATCAAACCTTGTGTAAAGGTGGTTTCACTTCAACAAGGGGGTGTTAAGCTGTTAAAACACCTATTCTGGACAAATACGCACTGCTGTGAGACCTCACTTCAGGATTAAATTGATATAATATCCTCTCATTGATTCATCATTCTTTAAATTTAAAAACTTCTTACAATGCCTTATGCGCTCTAAGTATAGTAAATTTTGAAGTGTAACTGAAATTACAGGCTTTCACTTGGGTTCTACCAAAAGTGACGTCCTGCTGCTATTAAAAGTTGTTTCCACTTCCTTTGAACTGAAAAAATGATATATCCACTGGATTGTTTCAATTCAATAAAAATATTGTGCAGGTTAGCTTGAACATGAGAAATGTGCCCCCTTTTTAAATGCGAAGGATTTGTTATCGAACTTCGGCGACTTTGAGCGTATCTATCTATCTAGCCGCCTACGACTTTTAACTCTCCTGGCCGTTTCGATAATGATATCGATAACATGACTGTATGAAAAACACATTTGACTAGTCATGGAAATCATGACATGTATGTCATGAATGTCGTGATCTACATTTTATGGTTCTGCCACTCTTGCGGTGGTTTCATTCACATGACATAATGCAAAACTGGTATGGTATGACATGATTGCATGGGGGAACACAAGTGACAGACCCTAGTATGAAAATAAATGACATGCTTGTCATATAACAACATGACTACATGCTACGCTCATGATGCGCTCGCAGCAGTTTTCATAACTCTACATGTACCAAATTTGGTAGTATTACACGACGCAAATGGACGACATAGGTAAAGACACATCCAAACATGATAATCACGACATGCGTGTCATTTAACAACATGACTACATGCCACACTCATGAGGCATTCGCGGCCGTTTCGCTAGCTTCACATATGCCAAATTTGGTATTACGTGACGCCAATGAATGACGAAGGTATGTGACCGGTGCAAACATGATAATCATGAGATGCCTGTCATGTGACAACTTGACTACATGCCACAGTCAAGACGCTAATACATTGCGATATGACACGGTGTCCGTGCCCGCCGGTGTTGACACGCCAGGTGCCGGTCCTTCTATATACTCACAGGCGCGCGCCGCGCTGCGTTGCTTTGACACATGCGCGTTTCAGTGCATCTGGCGTCACTCCATCTCGAAAAGAGGGAGACGCGGTGATGCCTGGGCAACGCATCGGCGTGAAATGCAGCATGTTGCATTTTGCACTGGTTGCCATCGAGCCGCGTTGACGGACGCAGGTCGCGCCTGGTGTCATGCTATGGATTGCTCGCGTTTTGGTAACGTAGCATCACTATGCCCAGTGTGCGCTCACTTCGACGCTACATTGAAGTATATTGGGCCCTTCATGATGTGTTCGCGGCCGTTCTGCTAGCTCCACATATACCAAATTTGGTGTTACGTGACACCAAGAGATGACGAAGTATATTACTGGTCCAAAGTTGATAATCCTGACATGCGTGTCATGTAAGAGCATGACAACATACCATGCTGATAGCGTGCTCGGGGCCATTTTGCTAGCTCCACAGATACTAAATTTGGTATCACGTGGCGCGAATAGATGACGAAAGTAAACGACACATCCAAATGTGATAATCACAACACGGAAGTCATGTTCGGCATCATTTACCTCCACCTCGCAACGTTTTGCTTACTTTAAAGTTACATATCATTATTTCTCATGTGTGCTTCACATATCATCAATTCCCACTGTACGTTGGATCTGTCAATTTTTTCATATACTATTTGACACATACTATTCGAATTTCGAAATTATTCGACCGGAATCAGTGTTCGTTTTGAATTCGCTTCTAACCTGAAATTCACTATTTACACAAGCCTAGAAATAAGAAAAAAGGAAGATTGGAAAAAAAAAGAAATTGAATGAAAAAAATTAAATACAAGGACCCCACTCTGCACTTTCTGGAAACCTGCCTTTATTTTTGGAAGTGGCATTTAAGCAGTCATCACAATTGATCACTATTGTAGTGATCACGATTGTAGGTTCATCGGTGATCAGCTGCTTTTGATTTAGCAATATGATCTTTAAATTTCATAATGCCTGGATGACTGTATTGGTGCTGGTAGCAACTGAGGTGATGCGCTGCAAAGTATTTAAATACATTTTCATTTCCTGGCATGAATAATGAAGGAAAGCTAAACCTCATAAGCGCGAAAACACATGCAACAATGATGAGTGAGGACACCTACACTGTCTTCGCCCAAATAGCTGCTTATCATAAATGAATGAATAAATAAATAATACAGTATACAATAAAGTCGCATGTTTTTTCGCCACGAAATGTGTTGTACTACTTGCGATGAGCTTAGTAGAAAGCTAATTTAAATTGCAGTTTGGACTCATGTGAATGTGTGTTTGTTGTACAGGTTTTCCTCGCAGCGTGCCAGATGACGAGGTCATGAAGCTGTTTGGTAAGTCAACATTTCATTGCTTGCCTTAGAAGTGTACCCTGCTGTCTGATGGTTTTTCTAACATCCAATGTGTGCACAGTACTCATCTTATGTCGAAAGACATCAGCCTCGTACAGCGCTTTATTTCCATCTATGAAAAACATAGTCTTCACAAAAAAGTGCACTAATACTCTGCTGATACGTTTTTTGAAAGCTGTTATAAGATCACAAGTACAGCTGCTCTTTGTACCGTAGTTGTCTGCTGCTGCTGGTGACCATAACGGCTATCACGCGAAACAAAAAAAGAACTGAGTGAGAAAAGATATTCAGTGTGGAGAGCTGTTTGAACCTGGGCCCTGGCCACAACACAGCCCAGTATTCTACAACAGAGCCGTATCAGTGCCTGAAACTCCCTCTTAAAAAGGCCCAACACAGGCTTCATGTCAGGAACGAACAATGTCAATGTATGTAGTATAGTGCGGTAGAAGAGTGAAATAACAATGAGGGGTCACGCAATGCATGTAGTGCTACAAGCGTCGCACACTGTAAATTGCTCAACTTGTGAGTCATTGGATAGTTCCAACTCATTACAAAAGGCACAGCCATAATTCTTCACCGGGCCTAGTGGGTGCTTCTGAATGTGACAAAAGTTTGTGATTTATGATGTATTGGGCGCCCTGCAGTATACTGTACTTGTCCTAGTAACCACAAAAGCGTTTTCAAGGTGGTTGGCATACAAGACATGTATTAGCTCATTGTCAGAATATGCTAATTCTTCCTTTTTATTTTTTTTCATTTTTATTATTTCTTTGTCGTCACTACTTCTACTTCTAAAGCGACACCTTTTTTTTTGTGACCCATACCCTTTTTTTTGCCGGCATTTTCACCTGCAATATTTCGTGTGTCTGTTCATTCAATTGTTCCTGATGTTTCACATGCTGTGACACACTATTAAAAACAGATCCCATAATTTTTTTCTTCTCAAGGTGTATTCACAGTTCGTCTCTTTTGTCTATTTTGTGCAACATGTACCTTTTGTAAAACCCATTCCTGCTTATGGCTTGCAAAGCAAGCTGGCAATAATAAATAAATAAATAAAGACTTGTAGAAATGCTGCTCTTTCAGCTTTTCCAGTGATTGCGCTGCACTGTTGGTGCAGGCCTAGTCTTTTTCGAAGCGACCGTAGGAAATAAACGTAGCAGGCAAGAAATGCAACAGTTGAGAAACAGAGAAATCGAAAACAAGTATTTAATGGCACAGAGTTTTACTTCTGTGCTTACATTTGAAAAAAATGATGCTTTACTACTGTGAAATCCAAGGAAGTGCCTATAGCACGGTTGCACATTTATTCCTATATGTGGGGTTCCCACTGCTGCATTTACTAAACTGGAGGTGGTGTTAATGTTTGGAGTAAGCATGTAGTTTCTTCAGCAGAAGTTCAATCTTGTTGGGGGAGTTCGTGAACTCGGTGTGGAATGACTGCACTGCATTTTGATGCATTTGGAGTTCCTGCTCATTAAGGCAGTTTAGATACTTGTAGGGGTGCAACAGCTGTGCCGATTGCATTAAATTGATACAATTCCCCATTTTTGTGCCGAGCTGCGCAAAAACCATGAAATTTGCTCGAATCGCGTCGCGCTGCAGCCAATGCCCGACCAGCTTCAAAATTTTCTGAGTTTTGCTAATGTGAGCGAGAAAAGGACACCACATTAGCCACCTGCACTTTGTGACACCAATGAAACCAAGCTGGCAGACCATAACCCTAAACCATGGTGCAATCTATATACTCGTTATGTGAGGACCCTTGCGAGACTTGATCGACCAGATAAAATATAAGATGAAGAAACAATGCCACACGCTTATTGATCCGTTGACCACAGCGGATACCTGTTGGCTGGACGGTGGAACTTCAAGCCAAAAACAAATGCGTGGCCGTAGCCATCAACGCTTCGCAGGAAATATGAATTTTCGAGTCGGCAAACGCGATTACGGCATGCTAAGAACGTATGCGGCATTTCCCGCGCACGAACAAGGTCGACATGCTGCTAATGCTATTGTTGCCAGCCACCACGTTGGTTGCCATAGCAATGACACATTAATCATTTTTCTATCTTCAAGTTGCGCCGACCCGACAGCGTCGCTGGGTCAACGGCCTGCGCCGTTACTTTATCTGCTTGAACACGCCTTGCAAGTGATCCGAAAAGTTGTGCCCTAAACCTAACCCCATTGTGAAAGGAAAAAAGAAAGAGTGGAAGCAGGTGTAGGGGTTTGAAAATTGCTTGGCCTTGTTCTGATGCAAGCAGATCGCTGCCTAAGCCATCTTCGCCGCAGTACACTAATGTCCCGCAGAAAAGTGTAATATTATTTGGGAGGGGGCTGTTAGTGCTAGTCAAGGGAGAGCACATTTTGTTCAATTGCTCATGTGTGTATGGGCTGCGTAATTTTGAGTACAAGTATGATCGCTGACATCTCAAAAAGTTATTGCTGCTCATTTGGAGCAGCGAATGACATTTCTGTTGCCCTGAAAAAATTTTAGAAATCTTGTGTGCCACTTTTTTTTGCCACCTTTACTCTTGGGTTTTAAGACTCCCAGCAAGGCAGAGCCACATTTGAATTCGCAGTCTGTCAATTAACTCGACAGGCATGGCAAATGCTAATGTGAACTTCATTGTTTGCTCAGTGGGGTAATTCAGAATACTACTATTTATTGAGATAGCAGTGCTCATGTTCACTCTGCACAATTTAGGTGAGTTGAATATTTTGTGTATATATTGTTATTCCGAATTTAAGCCTATTTTTTTTACTGCTTCAAACTCGATCTTTCATAATAAAAAAAACTTTTTTTTTGTAAGCTGCTCTAAATATGGATTTTAGTGCTCCAAAAGTAACGTTTTGCCGCTCCCAAAATTGCTGCAAATATTTTCTTGGCTGTTGCACCTCTGACCATGTGAATGGTGAATTCATCTATCCACCACTATGGTGTATTATGGCGATGGAATATTGGTGGCACACGGTGCATGCTAGCTTATGGCGGATTCTGGTGATGCTGGCAATGCTCGAGCGCAAAATGGCTCTGCAGCCAAATGGCTCTACACTGTGGCAAGCTACTATAGAAAATAATTGCATATAAGGCGATGAAAAAAGCATCCGTAAAAAAAAGAACATGCGCCAACCAGAATTCGAAGGTGCTGCTTTTGGATCTCCAACCTAACACTGTAGCCACTGTACCTTGCTGCGATACGCTTTGTTGTCTGTCGAATGACTAGTCGACTTACAAATGCATCGTTTAACTTCAGTTTTGTATGTTCGATACACAAGACAGACGGTATGTGCACCTGATACTAAAATTTGCATATTTATTAAGCACAAAGAACTGGTGGCAGTTACGATTATCACTAGGGTAACGACAACATGGCTGACTTTTTGTCGCAGTTCACAACTACAAAAAAAAAATTAAGTTGATTTAACGAGTGTCTAAATTGAATGAAACAACAGTCGCGAGTTGAAGATACCGCTGCCAAAAAGACAAGTTGTTGGCTGTTGTGGGCCAGTGAAGGCAAAAGATTAGAAATTTGAGTGAGTTGGTAGGTGTTCACCTTGAAGCAGGTTGCATGGAACGAGGACATAAAAAAGGAGGAGCACGAACAGGTGCTGAAGCAGCGGTGGACTTGCATGCTTATTGCCCAGCTTCATAACTGCCTCAGCCCCAAGTGACCTTGCGAATGAGCTGCGTTGTGCCGTGCAATACAGATGTGCAAAGGTTAAATGAAGGTAAAAAGCATCGACAATGAATGGCCAAAAAAAAAAAGCACTGGTGCCATTTTTTAGATTGTTGTGGTGCTCGCATAGCCTATCATTGAGGCACACACCACCTGCTTTGTCTTATGTATAGGGTCCCATATAAAAGTGGGCGATTGTATCCCACATGTTTCAACACACACTGTTTCTGTGCCGCTTACTTACTTAACTTCTCTGGTTGGATGGCATTTGTATCAATCTACTTGCATGGCTTCCCGAGCTTGTTGGGAGCTGAGAACACAACCTTTATGTTTGCCGTCTGGGCAATCTTCTTCGAGTTATGGGATATCTCGTGTTTGTAAGGTACAATACCTTCCTCGGTGGAAGGGCCAAGGAGAAGTTATGACAAATCAGACCTGCCTGATTCGAGAGCTTCACTTTAAAATGACTTTAAATAAACCAGTTTCATTTATAGGCTTACTATTTACGATAAGTCGTCCCTGAATTAGTTGGTTTTCAATACTTGGAGAGGTCATCTTAGTGCAAAATTAAACGACTGCTTACTGGAAGACAGTACAGCACACCACGACTGCTACATGGTGCATAGTTATTCTGTACTATAGACACTTCAAGCTCATTTGTTTAATGAACCGTTTAGCAGTGTGAGAGGTCTTTTTCTTGTGTGTTTGTTTTTCTGTTCAGGTGATTTCATGAAGCTGACAAAGGTGACGCAGTCGGAGGAGGAAAAGCGTCGCCACATTTCTTCCGGCATCGTCGAGACCCTCTGGCACGGCACGGGCTGAGCAGTGCCTCGTCTCACTGATTCTTTCGACTAGAGTGTCAAAGTTTAGCCGAGCAATGCCTCATCTTACCGATCCTTTTGACTGGAGTGTCAAAGTTTTGCTGAGCAATGCCTCATCTCACCGATCCTTTTGACTGGAGTGTCAAAGTTTTGAAGCACCAACTGCACTCATTGCCACAACTTTGTGACGGGACAACAAAACGAGGGAATTCTTCTAGTTGCTGTGTTATCATGTCAAGTCAACAGATAACAAAGCCTAGGAAAGGGTGGAGGCAAGTCATTCGTATTCAAGTGAAACTTGTATGGCTTCACAAGTGTCAGTGGCATAGTACATGTGGCATTGGCATGACCATTGGCAGTATGCATGTGACTGCTAAAAATAATAAATAATTAATCGCATCCGCAAGCACGTATAATTAACAATGAGAGTATCTGGGGTATTACCGTATGCACTCGCGTAATCCTCGCACTCGCATAATTCCCGCACCCCCCACATGGCCCAACAAAAATACGATTTTTTTTCTGCGAGTAATTATTGCACCCCTGATAATTGCCGTAATAATGTTGTTTGCTTGTTCCAACCATTGATGATGATAGCGCGTGCCATCTGATGGCATCTCTTAAGCATCAAGCGTACTATTATTGCACGAAGATCCAATCCAATCCAGGCCAAGCCGAAGCGGCAAGTGGGCGTTGCGACGTGTGTTGTATGTTGTGTCGGTAATCTTGTCACGTTATGGGGCGATACTGAATCCACATGGCTGTTTTCAAGTTGGAAGTGATGAATCATGCACTAAATAACGGCAACAGGGCCCCCAGTAGGCCCTTTGGAGTCGACGAGAAGGAAACTGCCGATGATTCTGTTAAATAGCCATCAGCTCAGTACTGACATCCTACGCTTACCTTTTGAGGTATCTCGTTGAGTGACAAACACTACCGCTAGGCCCGCAAGGTTCACAAGGTTTGCGTATGGTATTCTAATTCTCGTCTGTTTGCTTGCACTTTTAGAGCCTCAATAAATCTTGCCTTTTCTTTGAACCTCTGCTTCTATTGTGGAGAAAAATTTAATTAATGTTTTTCAAAGCTTGCTGTTAGTTGCTGGTGTGAGAATCCCGATTTGTGGCCACTTCGTTTTCGTTTTCGCCCTGTATGTTTTCGTGGAAAGTTTTTTCCGCGTAATTCTCGTACCCCCCTACGTCGCATTGGTTTTCCGTCGAAAATACTGCGAGGATTGTGCCAGGTGCGAGTAAATACGGTACTTGCTGAAACCACGATATGATTATGAGGGTCATCGTAGTGGAAGGCTGTAGAAATATTTGATCGTCTAGTGTTCTTTAACATGCACTGATATCATGCCGTGCACGGGTCTTGCCATCCAATGCAACTACCGTGATCAGGATCGAACGGCACATCGAAATGTGGCCCTCGAAGGAGAACAAGGCATGTTCGTATTTGTCAAGCACCGTCTTTCACTAATAGATGCAGTCACAATGGTAGGCTTGTCTTCTGTCAGCTATTTCTGATATGGCAGGATGAATTTTTACTGAGGTTACATTGAGGTGACTTGCCAATCTATGTTGCCACATTTCAATGTTTACTGGATGTCAACACGTGACTGTCTTTATTGCTTGTAGCAGCTGAAGTGTGCTGCTAAGCTTGCAGACGGGTGTCCAATCCCCAGCAGGAAACTGGAAGCATTGCGTATTGCATCAGAAGGAAAGTAGTACCTATCAGTGTGTCAGCATTTTCACAATAGGACAAGGGCTCTGGAATACCTTTAGTGTACCAGCATGTCGGACATTGTTCGTTGTCGTGACGGCCGATTTGCTTTAGTGCAAGAAAAAGTTGTCTTCTTTCACCATCACCTCGCACCCACTGCGTCGCAAGAGAGAGAGAGAGCGGTGCTCATTGATTGTGGAAATGCTTCCTCGCCCACGAGAGACAACACTTTGCACAAACGTTCACCAGCCACGCCATTTATATATATATATACATATATATATATATATATATAGTATAAAAAGAGGTCGACAAACGTGCGAAAAAACACTAGTTTTACTAACGTTTCGGCAGGTGGGCCTGCCTTCGTCGGAATGAATGGTTACACATGGCACACAGGGCACATATATAAGCCGCTTCTTTGCGTATCAAACGGCTAAGTCATTATCAGTAGTATAGGAAACAAGATTATTTTTCGAGTTTTTTCGCACGTTTGTCGACCTCTTTTTATACTGCATTTTCCACCGGATTCATGGAATATCACCCCACCATATATATATATATATATATATATATATATATATATATATATATATATATATATATGCGCATGCACTAGAAATTGATTGACCTACAAAGGTGGTGCCAGTGGGAGGTTCGCTTTGCGTGTAGTTGAGAAATATAAATTTGCAGTGTGCATGTTAACCAAAACCAGACTGCATCCTTCACCCCTTCCCAGGTTCCTGTTAGTGGAGCTCTAACACCTTCTTCTACATGCGTTATGCCTCCCTAGTTTTGTTTCACATGCTTGGTTCACACGTGCAATAAGTGACCGTGCGGTAAGCCAGCCGTGAAAGGTTTTTAGATGCGAAGTAGCTCCTTTAGTAGCCTGCGTAATGCTGTCCATCTATGTCTTCGTGCCAACGTTCTGCACCGCGTTTTTTCCGTCGCAGTTGTTGGAAGGATGCCAAGTAGGTCAAGTCGCAGCTGCAGGCTGACGTCACTCTCTCCCTCACCCACAGCCGCTTGCGGCTCCCCCTAACACACCTAGGTGCTGTTACTTCTACACCCGCGCACAACACACTTCTCTCTCGCTTCACTCTCTCCATGGCCCGCAAGGCTTGGCTGCACATTGAGCAGAAACACTCTTTCTGCTCGTCTATCTGTCGTAAAACTTACATGAAACCCAACCTGCCTTTCATGTCTTTTCGTTTCAAAGAAGCGTTTACTCAAGTAAAAGCTACACCGTCTTTCGCTTCAAACAGTTCTTCGTAACCGTTCTTCCAAACCGTTCAAACCTAAATCGACGCCTGTTTGATCCAGGTCAACAGCGTGCGCATAGCTACTCCTTCGCATCAAATTATGGTTCCTTTCAAGGAGATGGTTCATAATTTTTTTATATGAATTGTTACTTATAAGCATTGTGTTTGAGACTGTTTAGTACTCCATGATTCTAAACTATGAAAAATGGATGTCATACCGAAAAGCACCTGTTTTCTGAGCACTTTTGACATCATTACGTCGTTTAAAGGGCCCTGAACTACCTCGGGTATACCTATTTATTTCAAGATTTTAAGAAAACACTCACTTTGAGTTCAGAGTGCTGTCACAACCAAGAGTGGCAAATGCAGCAGCACGTGTGCTGCGGGCACACCTCATGACAAAAAAAAAAAAAAAACCTGCATGCGCTGTCCTTTCAGTATCACCACCATTGTTCATGATGTCACCAGAATAATCTGGTCATGTCAGTAGCAGAAAGAACCTGTTGGTCTTCCTGTAAGTATGCAAGCTTTCTGCATTTGCTATTCACACTCGGCCGGGAGTAGACACTAGACGACAAATGAATCATGGCAAAGAAAAGAGCTGAACAAGCAAGGGCCAAATTTAAATAATGAAATGCATATAATGTGGCCATTGTGGCACCAATAAAAAAAATTCCTACGGCTACGCGCTTGTTGTAGATTCATGCGCCGCTGCAGTAACGTAACTGAGCTACATCCTCTTGATAAATGATAGGTTCTTCAAGTTTTTACCTAGTCATAGTTGTATCTTATGACTACTAGTACATTTCAGTTGAAAGCTACAAATTACAACCACTACGTTTTCCTTAGCTGCATTATCTGTTGGCTTAATACGGTTGTGTATGAACATTAACGTTGTGTCTATCTTCTGGCCTGAAGAACACTAGTTGGCTGTCAGAATATTCGCTCTAGCGGCAATATAATAACTTTTTTAGCCCCAACGAAGGCATCCGCACTCCCAGAAAGACATTGGCTACTTTCAGTAAAGAATGCATCAAACTGTTGTCAGTGACTAGAGAGAATTTTTTTCCTTTCGTGTCTTGCATTGATCTGCCACACTTTTCAGCCTCGGTGAGCTTAAATTCCTTTTATAAGAACTTCACGTCCAGTACCTGCTTTTTAATGTATTCTGCAGTAAGAAACCCACTTAAGACTGGTTATGTGACAAAGTCAGACGAGCTCGGGCAGGCTGCTCGGGCAGGCCAAACGTTTGCAGTGCCATAAAGCAAAATAGTAGTTCATGAAGCAGTTTTATCTGTGCCATTTTTTTTATGCTAGGATTGCTACTTCATTGTAGATTGTGAAAGTGGCTTTGATTGGTTTTAAGGGGTCCTGAAACATGTTTTGCTTAAGTTTTTGTGGCACGCTGGAACGAATGCAGTGATTTCTATGAGCGTATTCTGAATAAATTGTATGGTTCACTGGCGGTTGTATATTGAGCTTTGCGCAAGAGGAAAGTGTCCACAAATAGCATAAGGAATGGTGAAAAAATGAGCAAGACAATTGTAAATCGGTGCTTGCTCCTTTTTGACTCGTAGAAGAGTTTGTGCGTGTAAGTTTCTGATTTCATAATTGCTCGAATCGGTAGGCTGTGACATGTGCTGACATAGCATGTGGTGAAGTACTATTTGAGAAGCTTCGAAGTTTGCTAAAAGTTCGTAGCTACTGATCTGCTATACGACATTATAAGTGCTTTGTTTGAGCCAGCAGAATGTTCTCAAGGTGATGCCTTACTTTGTTCGGCGCATGTTTCAGCACCCCTTGATGAGTAGCTGAATGTTGTGGTGGCCTTGGTGTGCACTGATTTTGTGAATGAAATAAAAGAATAATACAAATGCTCTGTGTTCCTGTAACCCTTGTAGAGTGAACGTGACTCAAGCTATCCTGGAGCAATACTAGAATAGAATGCCATACTTGTGTGTAATATATTTCACTGTTTATGTATTGGTGCAATTGAGCAGATTCAGTCTATTGCAGCCAGATTTGTTCTCAGGAAGTGTAATCAAACTGAAAGTTCACGATCAAGACTTGCAGGAAAGGGGCCTTTAGTTAAATTGTTTAAAAACTGGAAGATGCAATCTTATGCTGTCGAGAAAAATTCACTCAGCTAACAATGCAGCATGTTTTCATATCCTGGAGGGCATAACAGTATCGGTCGGCATCACAACAAGAAGAGTTATGTGACCTGAGAAGTAACGACTTGTAAGACGTCGTAGATAGGGCAGCACGCCGATGTCGAGTCTCGTTCTGGGATAGATGAGGTCGGCAAAATATTGAGAGCTACGAACTGGCATGGCATATTTAGGGCCTAGGGACGGCGATATCAATCAAGTATTGAGTTCAAAGCCTTCGGTATTTCGTAAAACAGAAAATTGACTGCATTAAAAGCTTGTTAACCCAACTAACCAATTTGTACATACAGTTAATGCGAACCGACTCCCTGGTACCGCCACAGCCCAGTCTACATCTGCGAGTGAGCACTCCAAATAATTCAAACGCGTCAGTATCCGTGACGGTTAATTCGAAGTTGGAACCTCAGGCCTTCATTACTCCCTGCAGAAGTTGGCCCATGGTGAGA